CCTACAGAAATGCAATGGAAATTGTTCACAATTTGAACCCTGCAACACCCAAGTTTCTGGCTAGCTTTAACTCCAGTTGAGCTTTGGCCACGCAAATTTTCTCCCTGTGGCAAGCAGCATCTCTGAATTATTACCATGTCCCTTGACCTTACTTCCACTGGGCATACACCTTCCTTTTTTGCCTTATCTGCAAGAGAAGATTCCTGTTCAGCCAAGCCAGCCTTCTGCCTCACCTGCTTCACTTCCAACATTTGGGAATTGCCTGCTTCTGTGCCCTTAGGAGGTGATGTTGAAAAAGTGACCAGTACTGATGGACCCCAGTACTTGCCAAAACATTTTCCCAGGGGACCTTACTAATTCACTGAGCAGCCTGAAGCCTGCTCTCCTCACATCCAGCATTGAGGTTTTGCTGGTACTTTTCCTCCTGTCAACAGAGATTTTAAACTTGATCCTTTTGTGGTCGCTGTGGCCAAGAGGGCCACCAATCTCTACGTTGCTCATGAAATCCACTTTGTTGATAAGCAGCAGATCAAGGAGGACATCCTTCCAAGTTGATTCCCTTAGGGCCTATTCCATAAAGTTGTCATACAGATTTTTTAGGAATCTTCTGGCTGGGTTGAACCAACTGTGTGATGCTGCCAGTTAATTTCTGTCAAGTTGAAGTCCTCCATAAGGACAAGGGCAGTTGACTTGGAAGTATCCCTTAGTTCCTCAAAGAATAATTCATCAGTGTCAGCATCCTGGCTGGGAGGTCTATAGCAGACTCCCACAATGACATCCACATTATTTGTTTGCCTCTTGATTATTACGCAGGAGCTCTCAACGGTGCCATTGCCAACTGTGAGCTACATACATCTAACCCTTCTATTACATACAGTGCCACTCCTCTGCCTCTTCTGCCCTGTCTATCTCTCCTGAAGAGCCTGTAACCATCCAACAGGGCACTCCAGTCACAGGTCTCATCCCACCAGGTTTCACTTATGCCAATGATGTGAAATCTCTGGGACTGGGCCAAAGCTTTGAGGTCCTCTTGTTTGTTCCTCATGCTGCCTGCATTGGTGTGCACACATTTCAGGAGTGGTACGTTGTAGCCAACACCTCTTGAGGTAGACTCAGGGATCCCATGAATGCTGTTTCTTCAAGTTCTGGCACACCATCCCATTGCTCATCACTGGTAAGCCTGGTTTTGTCCCCTTCAGGGAGAAAGAAATAATGCAGAACTGTGAATGTGTGTAAAAACAATTAATCATAGCTAAGACAAGGGCAAGAATATGGAAAAGCCTATACTGCATGAACAGAAAATACGAATGTAATGAGAAAGCAGCTGTAAGATACTAATAAGGAGGTGTTACAGGATTTAAAAGAGCAGAGTCCTGTGATTAAAAAAAGCAAATACTGCAAAAGTCACTAACAGAATTAAAATCTTTAATAGTTGTAGTTTGTGTTGTAGAGTCAGGGGAAAAAAAAGTAATTTGGTTTCTAGCAATGGATTTTACTTCTTAGTGAAAGATACAGAAAATCAGTAGAATAGAAACAAACTAGAGGTGAATTCTAGCACATTATATTTTGAAATAAGACAGTAATAGAAGATCCATATTCTTTTTTGACACAAGTCCTCACCTAGTCATTATCTAGAAAACTGCAGTCTCTGTGTCCAAGTGTTTGATAATGTCTTGAGATCAGGAGCCGAGTTAATAATTTTGAGGAACTGGTTTACAAAGGAAGGCTCCAAATGTCCTGAAGGGGGGAAAAATGAATCACGGAATCAAGTAGGTTGGAAAAGACCTCTGGTCAAACACCACTGTGTCAACCAGATCATGGCACTAAGTGCCACATCCAGTCTTTCCTTAAACACCTCTAGGGACAGTGATTCCACCACCTCCCTAGGCATTAGATTCTAGTGTATAATCACCCTTTCTGTGAAGAAATTCTTCCTAATATCCACCTAAACCTCCCCTGGCACAGCTGAAGACTATGTCCTCTTGCTAGGTAGCTGGGAGGAGAGGCCAACACCCACCTGGCTACAACCTCCTTTCAGGTAGTTGCAGAGAGTGATGAGGTCTCCCCTGAGCCTTCTCTTCTCCAGGCTAAACAATCCCAACTCCCTCAGCCGCTCCTCATAGAACAAGGAAATGTCCATTTCTTTGAAATTCTACTATAACTCTGGCTTTCTGTAATCTTGCCTCCAACAAAATAAGACATTCAAGCCCACCAGATATTTGTATCCCCCATAAAAAACTGTGGCTGAGCTGGTCAGGAGCACACCATTCGGTAAAGAATCTCTCAACATGTAGTACATATTAACTCCTAATTTTATAGTTCAATCATTTGTCAAATGTTCTTAGGTCATGGTGTGGTTTAGTTAGTTAGGATTGGAGCAGGGAAGTAAGGCCCCTAGAAATAAACAGCCATAGGAATCTAATGATGACCATGCTGTCAAAGGGAAATAAGGTTTCAGACTGGCAGAACAAGTTTTACATCCTACTTAATGATCTGTTCAGTAGCTCCAGGGCTTGGCTCTCAGGTGGAACAGTGAGTGTTCTGACCTGGAATTTCCTATGCTTCAGCCAGCAGTCAGCCAAGAGCCCATCCGTGCACTGGTGTGAGGAGACAAACAAGCTCATCCATTGTGCCCTGGGAGCAGGTTCCAAAAGGCGGCTGCTATTTGTGAAATACTCAATACAACTTGTAGAAATGCTGCCAAAATACCAGTACCAACTATGAAATTGCAACATCTATGCATCCTTAGTTATGGACGTTCCTGCTAGCACATTACCCAGCATGCAGGTACATATAGTAGTATAGCCCTGCTTTATTGGGAATGCATATTCACATGTGGAGGTGATATGGGTAGCCATTTTACTACAAAGGAAAGCATTTGGCTCTTTGTGATTGGATTACCACTACAGCTGTCTTCCAAATTCCCTGAGAAGTTCACTCTGCTTATCTGTTTTGATGCAACCTGAGTAACCTAATTTATTTCACACTGCTGGTTATAAACACAGCCACACATGCAGCTCTATGAATATTTATATCAAGGGCAAATTTCTCTGAATGAAATAAGAGGTCTATAATCTTCATAAAGCAATAAAGATGAGTACAACACGTAAGGTAAATCAAGGCCTCTACACCAAACAGTTCATCATCTGGATCTCTTCCATAGAAATTTGTAATCCTCATGGTTTATAGAACTGCCTGTAAAAGAATGAAGGAGTCACACTTCAGTTATCTTTGCAGGCAGTTGTGCTGGAGGACCTCGGAAGTACTTGGTCATATTGAGTCTTTTCTAGGCTGGGCTGAGTTAGCTACAAATTACGTTGGCCATGCCAGCAGAGTAGCTGCGGCAGTGTGAGCACACCTACATAGTGTGCTGGCCTCCATGCTACTTACGTGAGTATAGTGAGTGTAGCTATTTCTACAATTATTTTCTGTGTTTTATAGATACGACTGCAGTGCCTGCTACATAAAGGCCACCCCTAACACAAAGGAACTAACATCCATTCAGCTGATGGAAAATCTCCTGTAGTAACGGTATCATTCAGCAGCCTCAGGGCTCCTCTCTGGTGTTGCTTTGTGATTAGCAGATTGTCTGTAGGTTACTAGGTGTCTGGAAGTACTTCCATAATTTTCATACAAGCTGAAGAAGAGATAAAAGGGAAATTATTAAGATATAGTGAAGGTTTTGCCAAATAGATTAGAGAGCAGCAAAATAAACAGATTGCAGCACAATGCACATTTCTGACATTCTTGATGGGCATTTTTAAGTTAGGCATCCTGCAGTCAGCATGAGATCCTCAGGAAAAAACTTATCTCTAGAGTGCAGCTGAATCCACTGTCCACTGGAAGAGCTCTGGATCAAAGAACAGTGCCTAGAATCACAATTATTTTGCTTCAGTACATCTATGCCTTTATCTCTAAACCGAAATTCCTAAAAACAGATGTAAAGATTGCAGTAAATTATGATCAGAAGTGCAACATCTCTGAAGCTGACTGTGACCTCATGCTGTGCTAATTGTTAAGGTGGCAGGGATGGTCAGCATGGGGTTTTTCTATGTAAACAACTGCCAAGTAACATCTCCATCACTGTTCCTCTATTTTCTACACTTCGCAGAAAAAAAAATTATCATGAATGGGCTGCATTACACACCCTGCAGGAAAAAAATCACAGGTGCTGCCTGAACAGACATTAATTCTGTTATTTGTGTAAGGGAATGAAAGACGAATTCATTTTAAAGCACAGAGTAAGGTTTGTTTCCCAGGCCAGCCACATACCTCCTGTGTGAGCTGGAAAGTATGAAGGGCTTGGGGGCTGCTGATAAAATTTTGTGATTATCATGTCTCTGTCGGTCTGTTGTTACACTGCTAGCCGTAAGACAGCAATAAATTAATTCAAGCAGTGGACAGCAGTTCTTTCTCACAAAAGATGTTACCAGGTTCATCTGATTCAATTACCAGTACTTGAAAGGGCAACATAAAAAAAACCCCACTGCTCTGAGAATCTGTTTGGACAAGATTCAAGCAGAAAAAATTGGAAAAACAGCTTTACTGCCTGGTTACACAAGTCATGGAAGCATCTGAGCCTCTGGTTGAGGGATTTGTGTGTAGGCCCTGAAGTGATTGTACTGCAACTCAATAGGGAATCACTGTTGAGTATCTAATAGATGTCATAGGTCTGCCATTTTCACAGAATCACAGAATCAGCTGGGTTGGAAAAGACCTCTGAGATCATCAAGTCCAACCCTTGATCCAACCCCACCGTGGTTCCCAGACCAATGTTGCTTAATATTTTTGTCAGTGACCTTAAAGAAAATGTACCATAATTACTGATAGACAGCAGCCGGGACTGTTTTTTAGCTGACCAAGTGAAATAAAATGTGTATTAACTGTAAATATACAAATAAAATGGGTACTAACATGTAAACATATGCTCACACCTATGCAGAGAGGAACAGAGGCTAAATTCATGAGGAGTTTATACTGGAAAACGAAGTATTTTTCAATCTGCTGGTTGATCTAACTTTCTTGCACAGTCACATCCTAAAGGAACGAGGCCTTCACTTCTATTCCATAAAAAAAAAAGAGAATAGGTACTAGAGGGAAGTTTATTACTTGTGCTTTTAACCCATTTGTGTCACAACAGAAATACTCTCATGTCCCACTTTTTGTGTCTGTAATTTAAGAAGGATCTACTGAAATGTTCACATAGTAAAGGGCTTCTTTGTGCTTACACAGACCAATACAATGCATAGTTTTTATAAAAGATTATAGGAAGTATTTCATATTAACCTGTCTCTCACTGTCTTTTAATTTGAAATTTAACTTTGCCTTTTGATATCAGTATCTATGTTCAATGTGAGACAAAATTTTCTCTATCGTGACTCTTAACTCTGCAGTACAAAAAAATCACCAGAGACGTCTGCAAACACCTTTACTTTTCCACACAATTGGTTTCTCATATTGTGAAGTTTGTTTAGTACTGTCACTATTTACAGATTCATATCAATTACAAAAGTATACAGGAGTGTTACTAAAGTGAACTCAGAGGAAAAGCCACAACTCTTCCCATCAGGATGAAACCAATTCATTGCCACAGTGAATGAAATCTGATGATTTTGCCTCTGTGTAACATGATGACTCATATACAAAACCTGCATCTGCATACATCTACCAGGATGGACTATAACTAGGACTAAACATCTGAAATTAATACAGCCAAGTGCTATCCCATGTTTAATCCAATTAAAAGGACTGATGAACATCATTTGGAATGAACATGAGGTAATTTAATGAATTATAATAGGTCTCATGAGCATTTTTGTTGGTAATTAGGGCCATAAAGCTACAGGATATTATTTCAATCACCCACTGCCCCTCACAAAATAACATACAATTTAATAACAAAGCAAACCACAATGCAGTAATTGCAGTGCAATACGAAATTAGCTTAACAGCTAAGAGATGCATCTGAGACTCAGGCATGTGTAGAATTCCCAATTAGGTCAGCTTAACAACTAACTAGTACTCTTAACTTGCTAGTCAAAAATGTGCCCTCAGACACATCCACATACATTGTTCCACCTTCTGATTCAAAAGTGACTTGAACTGAAACTGAGATATTTAAAGTGTATCAAAAGACTGGCAAGAACTTCTGCTCAGCCTTAGGAGTGCATGCAACAGAATCTATTGCAATGAAATGCAACTGCAGAAGTCACATTCACAATCAAAACAGTGTCACTTAAAAGGATCCTGACCATTTTAAACAGTTTAGCTGCACTGATTTAGCTTAACTAATAAATCTGCATTTACAAAATGCATACATCGAAACAGTGAGAAAGAGGACCGTGTTGTTCAAGAGACTCACCTGAGATCCAGGCATGTGTATAGTTCCCAATTCTTGTACCCAGCAGATCTGAAAGAGTTTTCAATTCTGTAACCACAGGTAAGGTTCATTTCCAAACCCAGGAGCAATCTTGCAGTATTTGGCTGGCAATGCTGAGCAGACTGAGCGTCAAAGCTGGTAGTTGAAAAGATAGGTACGATCGACGTAAATGATAAAAAGTATGCAAATAGGCAGACAAGTAGATTCAGGGAGTACCAATGTGCCCACGGCTCACTATGTACAGTAAATAGGTGGAAAAATCCAAACATCAAAAAGGAAGTAAATCGTTAAAGCTTACCTATGATACCTATGGATTTTTTGATTTTTAGCTTTTTGTAGATTTTAGAAGTAGCTGTATTATATCCCTTACCCTTAGCACAGTAGTTTACACATTTACCCAACACTGTTACCCCATTCCATACCACTCCCTCAAAATTCTCTTAGCTTGTTTAGACTTCCCTCAAGGTAGGCCTTTAATTATGTTTAAGAACATCTGCACCCTGGCTTGAACAACAAGGTACCACTCAGGCATAGTGACCTTGAAGCCCAAAACTTTGGAGGAACTCCAAGGACTAAACGTGCTGAGATGAAGAGAAGGATGTTGAAGAGGGGGTCCCAGAGTCCCCTGCCTCAATTTCCAGAAGGGTGTGCCAGGGGGAGGTGCTGGGGGGTAGACAAATCTGGGATTGGATGGAATAATATCTTAAATTGTGAAACCCCGTGGACACAAGGGGGGTGTCATGTATTCCTGTGGGCTTCAGGCCAGAAATTAAAGGACCTACCCTCCTTATCTTATCTTATACACTAAGTTGGCTTGAAGTCCTGTTTTCTGTGGTCTCTTAAGGCAACACCTAAGAAATACACGGGCATACTCAATAATTAATTAACTCATTCTTCTAGCTAATCATCCATGTTTCTTATTAAGGTTATTTGGACTGGTCTGTGAATTGCCACCAGGACTGAAGACTAGAACAGATACACTAAGACAGGAAAATTGTTAGTAAAATGCTTATTGGTTAAGCACATAAATAGTTCTGCTGAAGACAACAGTCTTTTTCAATCATAGGTTTGCTTTTACTGAACAGAGGGATGAAATCCTAATTCCTTGTCTGAAGGCAAAGTTTGACCAACTTATTCAATTACACCAGTACTATATGCAGTTTTAAAACCTCACACCCATTTATCCAGTTCTGTCAAGCTAACAGCCAGTAAAATGAAAATGTAAAAATAAAAATCTTAAAATAATAAATTACTTAGAAAACAACCCTGCACTCTTTACCTCACAAAGCATCCCTAAAGATTTATGAGTACAGGTAGAGTGTTTAGTGCAGTGCCAGTGGGAACCTGATATGATTTGCTATGGATCTCACAGCAAATGAACCCAACATAGAATTAGGGATGCTCGAATTTATGAAAAGTTCTTTTCACTTTTTCAATACAAGAAAAAAAAATCTTAGAACATTCGCTGAATAAGAATGAGGAATTTCAGGAAAGTCTGAAGAAAAGCTGTTATTTAAAATAGAAATTTTAAAAATAGTACCACAGTAAAAAAATGTATTCTTCTTTGGATTCTTCTTTTTTTTTTCAAGATTTCCAAGTTTGAAAACCACAGCACGTCAAAACTCAAGGATGTTTTCCACCTCTCTGTGTTTATGAACAGGGAACAGAACCATGGTGCATTACAGGTAGGCAAACAACAAAGTACATGATTTACAGCAAACAAAATGTGGGAAAATGATTATTGTAGAGACCAGAATCTTTGTGAAATATTAACTGTTACGATGATGAATGGTGTCCTCCAGAAGGAAACTCCCAGGTAGCCATCAGGCCTAAGCTCCCTGCATTACTACAAGCAACAGATACTGAAGAGTTCATGCTCATTATTCAAGAGCTTGCTTTAGAAATGAGTTAAAAATTGCTGTTTGTAATGCTTTTAGATTTCAGAGAGACACTGCTGGTGACACAGAGGGTACCTGGGACCCAACTGTTCCACATCCCCTTGTTCTTGCCCTGTCTGTGTTTATCTAAAAAGTTCTCAATGAAGGATTCACTCTGGCTTTGCCCAGAGGAAAACAAGGAGAGCTGCATACACACACGGGTTGCAAAGGTCACAAAGCTTCACTCCCGCTGAAGAATCACAGAACGGGTCAGGTTGGAATGGACCACAGTGGGTCATCTGGTCCAACCTCCCTGCTCAAGCAGGGTCATCCTAGAGCACATGGCACAGGATTGTGTCCAGACGATTCTTGAGTATCTCCAGTGAGGGAGACTCCACAACCTCTCTGGGCAATCTGTTCTAGTCCTCGCACTGGAAAGAAAGCAAGAAACTTCAGGATTCAAAAGGAAAACAACAGTCTGTCTCGCTTTTTATGTTTTTTTTTTTTTATCAAATTCAGCGCCGACTTCCCTTGAAAGCCGCACTTGGCCAAAGGGGACCGACCCCTCCAGCCGCTTGGCGGGGTTGGCTGCTGCTGAGGCGCAAGCAGCTCCGCCACCCCCTTCCCCAGTGACCCTCGGCCACGGACGCGGTTTGTCCCATCCCCACGGCAGCTCCCCGTACCGGCACTCCGCCTCGGCCCGGGCCCAGCGCCGCTGGTGCCCCTCCATGGGCCCAGTGACGCTGCGGAAACGGGCCGCGCTCCTCGCCCCGGGCCCAGCAGCCCAGACCCGAGCACCACCTCCTCCCGCCCACCCTTCCTGCCCGCAGCCGCCGCTGCTGCTGCTGCTGCTGCTGCTGCAGCTGCCGCTGCCGCTGTCCCCGCCCCCGGCCGTGTGTACGGAAGCTGCCGGCGCCCGGGATTGTGGGAGCGGGGGGGCCACGGCGCGGGGAGGGGACGCGGCCGGGCCGGAGGGTTCCGGTGCAGGGCGCAGACGTGTCGGCCGGGGCCGCGCAGCGACAGGCGCTGCTGCCCCTGGTCCTCTCGGAACAGCGCCTGGCCCGGGGCCGGCCCGGCGGCGTCATGGCCGGGACCAGCAGCCCCGAAGCCGTGAAGAAGCTGCTGGAAAACATGCAGGGAGACCTGCGGGGCCTGAGCCTGGAGTGTCGGAAAAAATTCCCCCCCGTCAAGGAGGTGAGTGGCGCTGAACCGGGCCGAGCCGAGCCGGACCGGGCTGGGCTGAGCCGGGCGGCGGACGCCTCTCCGGAGGGGCCTCCCTGGCCGCGGGGCCCGGCCCGAGCGGAGCTGCCGCCGTGCCCGTGTCCCGCTCCCCGGAACGGTGCCGCTCCCGGGAAGCTCCGACCGCCGCAGCCGCTGGCTGTGCCCGGACTCGGCTGCGGCCGTCGCGCTCTCTGTGGTGGTGGTGTCAGTGCGCTGCCGCGGCGCGGGCCGTGGGCCGGGCTGTGCCCCGCGGGGAGCGGGGCTGGCGGACAGACGGTCTGTTGACAGGGCGAAGCGGGGGCGGCACCCCTGCATCCCCGGCGACCTCCGGGGAAAAGACAAAGTTCGGCTTGGCTGTCTCGGCACCACCGAGCGAGCGAAACTCGCCCGAGGCGGGCTCCGTACCGGGGCTTGGGCGCCCGAGCGGGCGTGCACCGAGCAAGCGGGAGCCCGACAGGCCGAGGAGGACCGTGCTCAGCCCCGGCGCTGTGGCTGCGGGGGGGCCCGGGGCCGCGCAGGTCTCCCCTCGGGTCTGTGCCGTGCCCCTGCGACGAGCGCACACGCTGCTGTTGCTCCCGGGTCGGTGCGCCTTATTCCTCACCATTGCACATCCGTGTCTGCCCGTGTGAACTGTGCGGATCGCTGGTGATCGCTATGTGCCCCGTCGTTTTGGGGTTGTCGTTTGGGTTCCAGCGCTGTGGGTTGTATCAGTTCCAGCTGATACAACAGAGGAAGCTTGGGAGATACAAAAGTTTGGATTACTTTTTTTTTTCCTTCTACAAAATCCCATTAATAAACTCATGAGTAAGGTTGTATGTTTTATTTTTCAAACCTCCGTTTATGCTGTGTAGCCTGGGACCTCAGTAATCTCGATGAGCCAGATTACTTTAATTGAAGGGCAGTCAGATTTTTTCTTGCTAACTAAATTATACATTTTAACCGTATGTTTCTCTATTATGTTTATACGGTCAGTTTAACTTTTTCCCTAACGGTAGTTTTCTATGCACTAGTGGGAGTAAAAATACTAATACATTAACTCAGATTAAACTGCAGACCCAGAAGCTCAGAAGAAAGAAATTGCATACGGAATGTGACTTGAGTTCCAATTCAGTAATAGCATATTTAGTGTTGTATGTAGTATTACACACTTTAACAGATGACTTGAAGCTAATGACTGTTCTTGTTTTGAAAGGCATGAAGTGACACACTGTAGTAGAGCATATTATGTATGATTGTAGATTGCAGAGGAACGCTGGTCTGTTTGAGAAATTCTGTGTGGTCACAGAAAAACTGGAGAAAGTTGTGATCAGTCCTAAGGAACTGTGTGTAGTCACATGTAAATAAGAAAAAGTTGTGGTCAGTTGAACAGAAATCTGCCTGTGTGTTTTGGAGGGACATGGGGGTGCCGCTTCCACTTTCTTCTGTGTATTACTGTGTGACTCTTAAGTTGTTTAGTCCGTGAACAAGTTTCCCCACTGGGTGAGTGTTTACTTTCTTTTAAGATCTACAAAGGAGATGGGCAATGTCACCCTTAAGCCAGTATTTTTAGTAATGCTTCGTTACATTTGCCATGCTGACCGTTTAGTAACTACTGCATGTGCAGTTCTTGATACTTGTTCAGCGCATTTATCATATTCTTGTGTAAGTTTGACTTTTGTGTTATTCTGTTTTATATCTTGATGGCAATTTGAATAGCTTTCTTCATTAAAAACAAAGTTTTTTCACAGTTGTCTGGAATTTGGATAGGTTTATGGAATAGTACTGGAAGGTGTTAACAAAAGAGGTGGGACTTTCTGCTGAGTTGTGAGTTCCTACAGTAGGATGTATGATACAGTCATAGGAAATGATCTTACTTCCTCACTTCTGGAAGCCGTTTTTTTGTTCTAGTTTTAGAGGAAATGGGTGTTCTTTTTGTCAAATCTAAACTGCTAAACAGATTTTAATTGCATGCATTTGATCTGATCATGATTAGATTTGGCTAGAGTGATCAGAGGAATTCTTATTGATTTGAAACAGCACTGGTTTTTTAAACTATGTTTAAACACAGGCTTTTTAAAACAAATTCCTACTACTTACAATCTTACTTTTTTACTTGCAGTGTAACTAGATTCTCCTCATTGCTACCATATGCATTGTAATTTATGAGTTTATCTTGCAGCTAATGTCTATGCTTTCACGTCACTTAATAAATTTAACATACTGTGATAAAGCTATTGAAAAACTCATAGTCCAAAATTAATAGTTATTAGATGTATCATAGTTGTTAGATTTGATAGGTACTTTAAGAAGGTAAACTGCTTCTAATTATCTTTCCAGTGTGTGACATAGTTGAAAACTTTGCTCACACTTATTTGTTATCATCAACCACTTCTAAAATTATTTGTCTGTTCTGGTTCTTTTTTGTTTTGTTTTTATATTAATAGTGTCAAAATTCTACAAACTGATAGGTTTTCTGCTCATAAAAGTAATAATGTATTTCTCAATTCTGCTTGTCGCTCAGATGATTAACCTGAGCAAATCCTTTTTTAATCGATACTGTAGGGTTTTAGACAGTTGTATGATCAAAAAAAAAAGAGATTTCGTGTTATTAAAAGAGTTTTAGTTTTCAAACCAAGTTTCAAACTAATTTAGTTTTTAAAACATCTTCCTAATGTATATGTAAGCAATATCTATTAGGTACAGAGAGACCAGAACAATATTGAATGATTCTTTGAACAGACATGTAGATGACACAGCTAAAGAACTTTATGGGACTTTTTTCGTCAGGGGAAGGTGAGAGTGGGGCTTGGATGCAGCAGAGAAGGGGAGAGCCAACTGTGAAATCTAGATCTCATTCTCAATTAGGAGCTTGAACTCTTCACTGTTTTAAGCACTTTAATCTCATATTTTTCTATTACTTCTGAGTCTGTAAAGTTTTCTAAGTAGGTTACATTTATGTGGGTATCATATGGTTCTAAGTCCAATTACTTACAACGGTGGAGTCTGACTTTTGTGACTTTGATAATCTGTTAAGAAACGTTGAAATTACTGAGTTTCTCTCAGTGTTAAACTTTTGACACAAATATGTGGCAAACTTCCTTCCCTTTAGAGCTTTTAACTAAGAAATAGCAGGATGTATTGTTGGCTCCAAAGCATCCATACCTCATTTTTGCTCTGTGTGACAAATAATACCTGAGTAGGATTTTCCTTGGTTATGCCACTTAATGCTCTAAGAATGGGAGCTGCAGAAAGAATCTGTGGGCTTGAAATTATGTTGCTGGCGATGTTTAGGGATTAACTAACACAACAGACTTATTTTTCTAAGGGTATGGGGAATACCAGTTACTATTGCACTTCAGACACATCTGTTTGTTACTAGGTGGTTTTCCTTTTTGATACTTCCTCAGATTAGCACCAACTACAGAAGTATAGTAGGCATGAAAGCTATACACTATGACCAAGAGGTGATTTGGTGGTTATGTCTGTGACATGCCAAGCCTGTTTACACTGGTAGACATACAAATAACGACATTGCTGAAAAATGTGTTTGTGTTTTCACAATGTATTTCTGTTGCCCAGTTAGAAAAATAGAGACTGTGGATGGGATAGAAGCTCTCAGGGCAAGTGTAAATTAAACAGTATCTTTTGGAGCTTGAAATTACAGAGGATGAAACAGTCTTTGGTACAGGCATCAGTTGTGTTCATGTTATTTTAAGTAATCTGGCATTTCTCCTAGAAAACAATACTACTTGGTCGTTATTTTGTTGTTTTTAATACAGTGGGTTCTCAGATTTGCTTTGTACTAGAGAGTATTGTAATGCTGCTAATGCTGCCCCGAATTGCATACGGCCTGAAAAGAGCTTTATAAAGTATTTTAACCTGCTAGTGGTTGGAGTTTTGATCTCTTGTGCTGTGCTCGTGGGAAGTTGGTGGTGCTCTCTTTAGTGAACTGGCGTAAGAATTTTGTCTTATCACAAAATTGAAAATAGTTTAGTGTGCTAAATAAGTTGCCTGCTGTTTCCTATTACAGAATGGGAATATTGTTCAGTAAGCTACATCTGACTGCATAAAAAAACCTTAGAAATACAAGGGGAAAATATTTATAATTAATAGAAATAATAGAGTTAAAAGGGAAATAAGTTCCTCCCGAAAGTTCCTTGCAGCCTGAATTCCAATTGTATGTAACTGTTGTTTACACAGATCCAGTCAAGCTGTCTCAGCTTTCTAGTGGGCTTGTAGTCTTTATGTTGACTCAGGTTTTTTCTTGACTTTTAAATAGCAGTAAAAGCAAAATGAGTTTAAAAAAATACACAAAAAAATTAACTCTTATCCAGCTCTTGCACAGTTACAGGTGCACTTGTGCTGGTAGGAGAGGGGAAGGGAAAGGGCAGATGGGATTGGAGCAGACAAGGACTGCATCCTCCCTTGGCAGGATCATCTTGGCCTGGGACAGGGCATGCCCTCTGCTTGGCAGTTGTGTCATTGATTGCAGGTGCCTGTATATTTTAGAATGTTTGTTGCTGTGGTGATTTGGATTAGTAGGGTTGGAAAAGAAGTAGTATTCTACTTGCTTCCACCTGGAAGAGCAGCACAGAATTAAGTTTGAATACTTCAGTCAGTTGAAATGCTCCCTTGATATTCCTGGAAGAAAGCTTTTAATAGCCTCACTGTGCTGGTTTTTTACCAGATCTTTGTTTGAAACAGCAGCATTGCTTTTGTTTAGCTATTTATTGAGTTGTGTGTGCCCTTGGCATACAGACATATTTTTGAAACTGTATAGTAATTTGCTGTATCTAGGAAAAATAATAGAATCCAATGTTGCAATCTTATTTTTTCTTCTTTTATAAGAACTCTACTTGCAGGCAAGTAGCCTTACAAAGTTCTTAAGGTAGAAGTTAAAAAGTTTGGATTTGAATGACTTCTGGACAAAGCAGACTTTAAATTATTTAATTACAGTAGAAGTGGTGTGGACTAGCTAAGGCAAGAGAGAGGAT